GGCACCCTCAGGATACTGGTATTACAGCTAGAAGGATGCTTTAATGTCGCAAGACGGGCAATCCTCTTGGCTGTCCCTTGTGCAGTGCTGATGGACGTGCTAAGTGGGCATGAAGAACCTCTTGACCAGGAAGGCCCTGGTGACCAGGAAGGAGTTCAAGCCCCTCAAGGATAAAGGCTTGGTCTTGCACTGGGCCAGCAGACAGAGATGCTGGTTATTCTCTTCCGCTTTCCATTGGCACCACGAGTCTCCTGTGGCTGGATGCCTCACAAGAAAAAGGACCTTATGTAGCTCACAGTCTCAGAGGTTGAAGAGCAGGGCACCTGCATTGACATGGCTCTCAGGAGACTGCAGGGCACATGGCATCCCAGAGGCAACAGCGCATGCTAAAGGCGAGAGCACACGGAAGACAGGCAGCCAGAACCCAGGCGGCAGTCAGCCTTGTTATTCTACAACAACCCTCTCATGACAGCTACCCAGGGTCCCGTGGTAACTGCCCGGTCCCCCCCAGGACGACACCTTCAGGGACCTGGTTCTTTCTCACCGGGCTCCAAGTCACAAGTCCCACCCCTGACACTGTCACGCTGAGGACCAAGCTTCCAACCTTGGGGAGAACCTTGGGCACACACTCGAACCCTGCCCGAACCGTGCCACTGGCGAATGGGGAGGAGTCCAGAAAGGCTGAAGGAGGGCCCTTGACGAGCGCCAAGTGCACCCAGGCCCAGCGGCCAGGGCCAGGGCCGTAGCTGCCAGCACCAACCTCCTCTTCTGTGTCCTCCGGGAGAGCGTTGCCAGATGTCTTCACATGTTTTCTGTTTGTTTAAGTGCGTCCCGCAGACTGGTCACTTATAGAGAATAAGAGGTTCACGGTTCCGGAGGCTGAGAGGCCCCAGAGCATGGTGGTGGCACCTGGCAAGGTCTTCCTGCTTAAGTGGAACGTGGTGGTGGCATCCCATGGTGACAGAGTAAGCTGCCAGATCAGGGCTCTCTTCCTGGCCTGGTAAAGCCTCTAACGCCATCTTGGGGGTCCCATCCTCGCCCCCTCACTGGATCCTAATTACTTCCTGAAAGCCCTGATTCCAAAAACCATTGGCATTCTAATCTGAGGAGTTAAGTTTCTGACCCACAAACTTCTGAGGAACACGTAGCACCAGACACACATTCCAACCTCAAGCAAGCAATGAGTAGTTTAGTATAACTGTGTTCAAAATATTTATATTGAAAAAAGTTACTCACTATTTATTTGAAATTCAAACCTAATTAGAAGCGTCACGTTTTTTATTAGCTAAAACTTGCAACCCTACCCAGGCAGAGAGGCCTACAACATGCCCGCAGAAGTTGCTCCCAGGAGCTGAAAGAGGAAGTGGATCAAAGGGGGGTGAGATACACACTTTGGTGGGCACTGTCGTCCCCTTCTTATTTCCCCAGGGACTGAGACCCCTTGGGGAGGTGCCTCAACAGGCAGCCACTGGGGAGATGGCTCCAGTTGCCCCCGTCCCAGGCAGCCTGCACCAGTGCCGGGCACTGTGCGGGTGGAGCAACCCTGTCCCTTCTCCTCAGCTTGGGCAGGCTCCTCCAAGCTCTGCTCAGCTCAGCTTGCTTCAGCCTCCCTGCCTGCCAAATCCGGCTTCCTTCCTTGACTTCATAGGTATCTATTCCAAGAGCACTTCCCAAAAACACATGTTGAGCGCCCCTGGTCCAAACACTCCAAACCCAAAACTTCTGGAGCACTGACGTGATGCTGTAAGTGGGAAATTCCACACCACAAATCTTTGTTTCATGCACAAAGTTACTTAAAATATTGTATAGTTACCGTCAGGCTATGTGTATAAGATGTATATGAAACATACGTGGATTTGTGTTGATATTTGGGTCTCAACCCTAAGATGTTTCATTTTATACATCTAAATATTCCAATTTTTTAAAAAAATCCCAGATGTGAGACACTTCTGGCCTCAAGTATTGTGGATAAGCCACACTCAACCTACTCAAACTGTGTCTCCGAATCTGCTGCTGCCCCTGTGAGAGGCTGAGGGGACTTTGGGTCCCTGGTATTCTTGTCCCCAAAAGTACACCTGGAAAGACAAGAAGGCCTGTCCATGCTCAGAGCTCACTAGCATGAGCCACATAGCACGGGTGTTTAGGTGTCATGGGTCAACAGTGCCCAAGAGACAGTTCTGCATTTCCAAATTTCTGCTCGACAAATAATTCATCATGGCTCTGGACACTGAATCTCAAACTTTACCTTTCTGCCCCCCTAAAAAACTATTCCTAATTTCTTGCTCATACCACCCCCCGAGCCTTTGGCCCCCCTCCGCAGCACATCCACCCAGCCCTCGGTCTTCTTCCTACCCTTATTTTGTCCCCGTCTGCCCGGCCGTTAGAGGGCCCAGGGCTCCTGGTCACTGCTGCCATTCCTGCCACGTGCATGCTGAAGCCAGCCAAGCCCTCCTTGGCGGTGGTTCTCACCTGGCTACAGGAGAAGCTGGGTCAGGATGAAACAGCTCACCGCCAAGACGAACTTAGGGGCAGCACTGGGTCTCGCTGCGTCCTTTCCGTCACATGACCAGGGTGTTTCAGATTCATTCTCCTTTATCAGCCTAGATGCTCAGGAAAACCTCACGCAAGCACGTCTCCCTCTCTCTCTCTCTCTTTCTCACACACACACACACTATCTCAGAGCACCTTGTTCCCACAGCATGCTGTACCTTTGTGTGTGACAAGTGATACAACTGCTTCAAGACGCGCCGCTGACAGCACAGCTGACGGCCAGATTAACTCAGCGCCGCGCCCTACCACACATGAGTGTTTGCCTTTCCCCTACTGTTCCAGGCTTCAGGAACTGTCCGGAGTGATTGCACACCACTCTCGCTGGCTGGGGAGCGGGAGCTGGCAGGATCGAGCAGTTCCTGTAAAACCACGTCACCGCTTATGCAGCAAGCATGACAAGTGGGAGAGACAGCAGTGTTGCAAGGAAACTTCTTAGAATGCTGGCCACCGGGAGACAAAAGGGGAACAGCTATTGTTTATAAACACAGGAAGAGGAGACTGTTGCCCGAATACCTTTGATTTTGGGGACTTCTCATTACATAATCAATTAAAGTAAGCAGGAAAGCTGGTTAACTCTTGCCTAGAAAAAGCCATGCCCCTTCACCCCGGGCACCAGAGATGCTTCCCACAGCCTGTGCCCTGGGAATGTTCATGTTAGCGCTCTGAAAATTCTTTTGTCAAAGAAAACTCAGAGAATTTTGAAAATTAAATTAAGAAAGTATATACAGCTCCACACAAAAAAATCCAGTATGTGCATCATAAATTAGTATTAGAGAATTTATCACTTTACAAAGAAGGTTCAACTCGATTCTCTTAATTACACACTAAGTGAGAGTATTTCACATACAACTGCATTTCAAGACTGCTCCATGCCAGCTCCCATCTTGTATAAGCAGAGGTGTTTTCTCAGGCCTCAGTGCACGCTCTGATCTTTTTCCTCCTCTCTACAGTCAGGCTGGATCCTCGCTGCCCTCCCCACCTGGGAGATGTGGTTGATGGTGTCTTGAAGGGGACAGTCCATCACCTTCTCCAAGCACTGACTGGCGCACGATGTAAACGACCCCAGTCCCAATTCACGGACAGCTAGGGTACTCCAGGCATGCATTAGCCATCACTTCCTTCTTACCACCAGGAGCCAAAGATACTGCTGCCACTGGGATGAACAACTCCTCCAGGTCCTCCCTGGCTTCCAGCAGGCACGGCTGAGCCTCAGACCGGAGCACTGAGTCACAGGGACAGCACCCCTTGAGGTCCAGGACGCCGTGGTCAGGGCGTAAGGAGCACCAGGCAGAGCAGCCCCGATTAGCAAGGAAGAGGATACCGCATCAACACAACACAACATTTTAGGAGTTTTACAACAAACAATGATATGCTAAAATTTTTCAAGGATGAAAAGGCACTGGTTTTAACAAATTGTAGTCCTCCTTCCTTTTAAAGGATGAAATAGAGAGGAAAGAGTGCCCGGAGCAAGGTTGCCGCGCCCGCCCCCGCACAGCCTGTCACGAGAGACCCAAGGCCCGCATGAGCTGCGCAAGCATTCTGCGCCGTGCAGGGTTGCAGCCCAGTCACTTATTTTTTGTTTCTAATACAGGTTTTATAAAGCATTTTCTTGCATGTGATTGCAAGACGTATAATTGCAAAAGACTGATCTTTAAAGTGCTGAACTTAAGTACGTTTAGCTTTTCTTACAGTCTCTTTATGACAAATGTGAACTGCAAATTCAAATCCTGAGTTCAGATCCGGCTGCACTGGCAACAGCACCTCCCCTGGAGAACTCGCTGAAAACACCACCTCGCAGGGTATGCGAACTGGCTGTTGTTGGAGGTAGACACTGAATTCACTGATTTTCCATTTTCCTTTTTCAGTAAGTGGTGACATTTGAAGATGAATGTCTAGTCTTACAGAAACAATGATTTTCTCAAGTCTCAGTGAGGGGCAAGAGGAACTTCCAAAACTGTCACAGTTTTGTTTGTTTCAACAGCGCCTATGGATGTAAAAGATTTTTGGCCAGCAATTGGCCAGCACCCACCTGGTCACCCCTACTCCAAGGTAACGGACCCATCAGGATTTTAGTACTCAGTTCCTTCTTTGCATTCATTTCATCATTAAAAAAAATCTGCTTCTAGTGGGCGCGTATGACAAACAAGTAAACCAGAAGATGGCGTTGAAGGTTAGCAGTCGCTTCTTCAAACAAGGGGGTGGTGTAAATAAAAAAAATAATCGTGCAATGACTGTTGTTTTGAACTGCTAAACAGAGGATGTACGGGTGAGGAAAATTTTGAAACTGACTAAACCCAGTGCAGAGACCACGTGTACGAAAGTGCCAAAGCTGTAGCCTCTCACTTTGGTCCTCGGCAGTCTTCTGCTCAATACACCTGTGCACATCTGGAAAAAAATAATTCCCTGCTGTCGAGGTAGCAGAGCACCTGCACTATCCACGGTAGGTGCATTGGCCCCCCCAGCATCTCCCAGCTAGGAAGGGCCCAGAAATATATGCTGGCTGAATGAATGAATCTGCGAACAGAGAAGGGAAAAAACAGGTTGTGGCCAGAATTTTCTTTGAACGAAACCCTGTTGTTTATTACAGAGACTCATGGAAAACTTACTTGGGTGAAAGAAATACAGCATCCTGTTACTTTCTGAGAAAGTCCGTCGGTTGTAGGGAAAGCACACCTATCGGTTCGTCTCTGCCTGCTTTGCTCTGCCCTGAACTTGAGTTTGATCCTCCAATATAGAAAACTAAGAGACAAACTGAGAAATAAGTGAAATCAAAAGTTGTTCAGAAGTTGCAAGTTGACCCCACACGGTGGTGATGTGAAATCATATAGAAACTCTGATCGGATGGTTTACCTGAAAATGCTAAGTAAATAAACAGGCTGGGCTTGGCACATCCAAGCCAACCTGGTGAACGCTGAGGGGGGTAATTTGGAGATTAAAGACAACTCGGAAAATTAAGTAAATCTTGGGGCCGCTTAACTATTATTTCTATGGTGGACATTTAGACCCCACTGAGACGCTGCTTCCCACAAGACGCATTAAACGATGTCGCTGCAAAGCGAGCTGCGGCCGTCTTCACACACCCCCCCACCTCGCTCGCGTTGCCCTCACCGCCGCTCGGGCCCTGCCTCGTCTGAGCCACCGCCATCCTTCAGTTTAGGGAAGCAACTGAAGGTGTCCGGGCCGTTTCCGATTTTCTTTTCACTGAGTGCGATGTCGGCGGAGAGGCAGGGCTCCCTCTCGCCGGTGACAGCGCCAAGGGTGCCCCACCCCGACCGGCTCCTCAGGGACGACCCTGGGGTCTCGGGCAGCTCAGCCCGCCAGGTCCAGGGGCCCTTCTTCCCGCCTGGCTGTCGCTGGTCCCCGATCGCGCCTCGGACAGGGCTAGGGTCGCCGCGCGCGGGGCGCTCCGGCAGGTGCAGCAGGTCCGGGGTGGCCGGGTCGCAGGGTCCCGGTCCCCGCCCGGCGGAGGCGCGAGGTCCCCGCCCCGGGCAGGCGGAGCCGCCACGCCCCGCCCAGACCGCTCGGATATAAAGTTCCTCTTTCTCACCTCGCGCTGTTTCTGCCCTTGAACTCGGGTCCCGGCGAGGTAAGGCCTGGAGTCGGGCAGGACGCGGAGGGACCGGCGGCGACAGAGGTTGGGCAGGGCCGGGACCCGGCGGCGCAGGGCAGCCGCGGGGGTGCACTTGGAGCGAGTCGGGGTCTGCAGGTCGGGGTCGCCGGAGCCCCTGCGAGACCCGGGGAAGCACGGGGCTCGTCCCCGCCAAATCCCTGGTCCAAGCCGCATGCGACGCTCGCACCCGACCGTCCTGGGCCGGGGTGGCCGAGATGAGACGGCCTCGGGCCGGGGTCCTGCTCGCGCGCCGCGTCCCAAAGGGGCCGGACGCCGCGGGGCACGGTGCCGTGCTCAGGACAGAACGAGCTCGAATGTGGGCGTTCAGAGCCCCGCGCGCGGCCGCCGCCTCCTCGGGCTGGGCCTGGAGCTGGCATCGCACTCTCCCGCCTCAGCTTCCTCCCTGACCTGCTGCGCGCCCGCTGCTTGAAACCCGGTCCCCGCCACTTGTTGCTGCTCGAAGCACCTATTAACCCGGCTGGGGCAGGTGCGGGCTACCGGGAGAAGTGAGGGCGCTGGAGAAGGAAGTGTGGGGAAGAGAAGACAGGTGCTGCGCTCCCGGGAACCCGGACGGGGCGAGTCCACGTGCGGGGTCCTGGTGCGCGGGGGCCACGCGGGGAGCGAGGCTCGTGGGTGGTGAAGAGTGGAAACAGGCCAAGAGGACACGCGATGGAGACGGCTCGGGAGGGGCGGACAGGCGCGGGAACCCCTGCGAGCGGGCGCCCCGGCGCTGGGGCGCGCGGGAAACTGTGCGTCCGGAGCGCTCGGCGGCGGGTGCGCC